ATGGATACTAGGAACCAAACTCAGATTCTCTGGAAGAGTAGTAAGTGCTTTTTATCTTCTGGGCCATCCCTTTAGCTTAAAAGTTCAGGTTTAAATAAAGAGTAATAAATATGCACAACAGCTATTTGTCATCATAGTGTGGTCTTCTCCATCAACTCCTCAGAACTCTGTGCAAACTCTTTCCTGGAGCCAAGTCCCTTCAGTGGCCTGGGGAAAGTTCAGTTTATTTGGCACAGTTTTGTCATTTGTCTGATAACCAGAGGGGGTATTATCAGACACACACTGCTCAGGGGAATGATTTTCCAATGTATGGATTCTACGGGACATAAGCAAATTATATCACATAAGAACTCCTTAGAAGATCCCTTTTATTTGTTTATTCTTCTCTCATATATTATATTTCAACCACAGTTTCCCTTTACTCACCTCCTCTCAGCACCCACTCTCACCTCCCTTCTCCTGCAGACCCACTCCTCCTCCATTTCCCTTCAGAAAAGTACAGGCCTCCCAAGGATCTCAACCAAACATAGCATAGCAAATTATAGTAAGAGTAGGCAGAAATCCTTAAATCAGTGAAGGCCAAGGAAACCCAACAGGAGGAAAAGGGCCCCAAAGGCAGGCAAAAGAGTCAAACAGCCCCCTGATCCCTCTGTTAGGAGCCCCACAAGAAGACTAACTGCACAACCATAACATACATGCAGAGCCTTAGGTCAGTCCTACACAGGCTCCCTGATTGGTGGTTCAGTCTCTGTGAACCCCTATGAGCTCTGGTTAGTTGATTCTGTGGGCAAGGTTGCTATGGTGTCCTTGACCCCTCTGTATTCTACAATCCTTCCTTCCCCTTTTCAGAAATTTGTCTACTAGTCTACTACTTCAGGTTCTGATCTACTAGTATAGCAAGGTACCATTAAGAATCATTTCATTGATTTTTTTTTTTCACAGTCACGTTTGGCTCTATTCTAGATATATGGGCTATCCAATCTCTGGTTATTGGGTCTGGACTCTCTCTCATGGCACAGGTCTTAAGTTGCACCAGTCACTGGTTGGCCACAACCACAGGTTGTGTGCTACATTTTCCCCAGCACATCTTAAAGGCATAATAAATTGTAGGTCAAAGGTTATGTGGCTGGGTAGGTATCCCAGTCCCTGCACTAGAAATCTTGCTTGGTTACAGAAGATGGCTTCTTTAGTTTCCATATACCCTATTTTTAGGAGTCTTGCTAGGATCACTCTGGTAGATTCCTAGGAGTTTCCATTGTACTAACTTTCTACCTTACTTCTAAAGTGCTTCCTTAATTCCAGTCATGTCTCTCTGTACTCCCTTACCCATTTCTGATCCCTCTTGTAGGTGTAAATTGTCTTTATTATGATTAGGTATATCCCTTGTATCCCTGGTCTCTCTAAGACTTTATCATGAAGGGGGTATTCTATTTACCAAAGGCTTTTTTTTCAGCATCTAGTAAGATGATCATGTGCTTTTGTTTTTTTGGGTTTTTTGTTTGTTTGTTTGTTTCAGTTTGTTTATGTGGTAGATTACACTGACAGATTTTTCCTATGTTGAACCATCCCTGTATTTCTGGCATAAAGCCTACTTGATTATTGTGGATGATCTTTTTGATGTGTTCTTGAATTTGGTTGGGGAGTATTTTATTGAGTATTTTTTTTTCATCAATGTTCATGAGGGAAATTTGTGTAATTCTCTTTTTTTATTGCATCTTTGTGTGGTTTGGGTATCAGGGTGACTGTGACCTCAAAAAGTAAATTTGACAATGATTCTATTTTGTGGAATAATTTGAGTAGTATTGGTATTAGGTCTTACTTGAAATTCTGGTAGAATTCTGTGCTTAAACTGTCTAGCCCTAGGCTGTTTTTGGTTGGAAGACTTTTAATAACTGTTTTTATTTCCATAGGGGTTATAGATATATTTAAATTTTTTATCTGATTTAACTTTGGTAAGTGGGATATATCGAGGAAATCCCCCCCTTTTTTTAGATTTATCATTTTTTGAGAAGTCCACTCTCTTAAATTATGATCTAATCATTCTTTGGATTCTTTTGGTATCTGTTGTTGTGTGTTGCTTGAAAAATAAAAGACCCAGAGATGGAAATTAGAGTTCAACCTGAAGATCAGGAAGCAAAGCAGATAAGCTACCAGAGAGCTCTTACCTATAAAAGGGCTAGAGTGTTACTATTAACATAGCCGGAGAATGAATGCCCGATCTTGACCTTGCTTCTGTCTCATATACCTCCCTAATGTTGTGATTAAAGGCTAGTGATCGCAGGTGCTGAGATAATCTTTGTGTGAGCTGTTTTTTCTTTAGGTCTGGATCAGTCTTGTGTATCTCTGGGTGGTCTTGGACTCAGAGAGATCCATCTACCTCGGTTGAGAAGCCAGGTGTAGTAATTGCGATAGGTCTGCTTTAATATGTTACTTCGCCTTTTTTCCTATGCAGTCTTTACTACTCTTCCTTTGTTCTTTGTTTTGAATATTATGTGGCAAGGGGAGGGGATTTTCTTTTCTGGTCTAATTTATTTGGTATTCTTTAAACTTCTTGTACCTTATAGGCACATCCTTTTATAGGTGAGGAAATTTTTTTCTATGATTTTGTTAAAATATATTTTCTGTGCCTTTTAGTTGAGATTCTTCCCTTTCTTCTATTCCTATTATTCTTAGGTTTGGTCTTCTCATAGTGTCCAGAATTTTCTGGTTGTTTCCTGGCAGGATTTTTTTTTTTTTTAGAATTTACATTTTTTTTGACCTATGTATTTATTTGATCTATTGTATTTCGTCTTCTGAGATCCTCTCTTCCACCTTCTGTATTCTGTTGGTGATGCTTGCATCTGTAGCTCCCGTTCACTCATCTAGATTTTCTATTTCCAGAACTCACTCAGTTTGTGTTTGCTTTTTTGCTTCTACTTCCATTTATAGGTCTTGAATAGTTTTATTCATTTCCTTCAAATGTTTGATTTTTTTTCTTGGCTTTCTTTATGAGATTTATTCATTTCCTTCAATTGTTTGTGTGTTCCTTTTTTGTTGATTTTTTTGTTTGTTTGTTTTGTTTTTTTTGAAGAATTTATCCCATTTTCTAAAAATTGTGTTTTCATGGACTTCTTTAACGGAGTTATTCATTTCCTCTTTAAAGAACTTTCTCATCTTCATGCAGTTGGTTTTTAGGTTGTTTTCTTGTCCTTCAGCTGTGTTGGAATGTTTAGGTTTGTTGTAGTAGGATAGCAGTGCTCTTATGGTAACATTGCCCTGGCTATTGTTGATTGTGTTCTTATACAGGCACCACAGCATCCAGGTCTGGGCTGATGTTAGATCTAGGTACTGATTTCTGAGTTGTTCTTTCTTGGATGGGTGCCCCGCCACCCCCTTGGTTTATGTTTCCTCTTTGATCTCTTGGTTTTTGCAGTTTAGATTTCTGACAGTCATTATAACAGGGAGTCTTTGTTCCAGTTGGGAGCTGGACTTCTGTCAGTTAGGATAACCTTTGGGGGCACAGAACAAGGAAAGTAGAGACCTGAGATAGTGTGGGGAGTCACTTAGATAGTGGAGAATGTCTACATCCTCCTATCTGGAGTTATGGATACTGTATAGTCTCTGTCCAAGTTCTCTTATCTGTTTTTCTGGCATGTGTGGTCTATTTTCCTGGCTGGCATGGCCTGTACTTGTTCTTCAAACTGATGTGGCTTGTACCTGTTTTCTTATTAGAGAGTCTTAATTAACTTTAATAGGATTGATTAAACTCAAAACTAACAGGGACAAGTTAGCAGGCAAATGATTGTTTCCAGTTTATTTTTCACTTAAATTTAATGTAAAATTTACTTCAATTTCTTAATATTGTGTGGATATCAATGCCATGGTATGCAGGTGAATATCAGAGATTAGAGGATACTTTTGGGGGCTTCCTTCCTCCCTTCCTTCCTTTCTCTCTTTCTTTTTCTCTTTCCATGGGTTCTGGGGATCAAACTTGTATAGCCGAGAGCTTGTTTTATCCTATACCTGCTGAGCCATCCTGTTGAAACTTATTTATTGATTTCCTATCTTATGCTTTTTCCATGATTTTTAGTGGAATCAGTCCTCAGGTTAAGTAAAAAAAAAATTATTCTTGACTTTTTAGTGTAGAAGAGAACGAAATATTTAACTGCCCAATTTTCCATGTCCTTATTTGTAAAATGAAGGAATTCTTGCTCTAAAACATCACTGAGGAAATGTTTGAGAACTACTGCAACTGTATAATGATTAGTAGAATATAATTGTAACTAAGAAGTATGTCAAGCCAAATCATAGTCCTCATCACAAATTCTTGAGCAGGCACTTATTTCTTCACTTGCAAAGAGGTATGGTAATATTCTACTTCATATGTCTGATGAAGATTAAAATAACACATTCTTAGAAAGATGTAAATAATAGATTAGTTGTTAAAGTTTCTTCATAATGTCTCAGAATAGAAACATCACAAGGTCAAACATCCATGTGTTGTTTTTCCTCACAAAATATATTGATGTTTTCAAATCAATATCTGTACAAGACCTTTCTAAAAATATTCAGAGAAAATATATTTTATCATCATCTTTTAACATGGTAATTATTCATGAAATGTAGCAGCACAAATTGATGGAGCTCATTGTGCCATTTTCATTCATACTTATGACATATATGTATTAATAAGGGAAAATCTGTTTTGAAGTTTAGAGAAGAGTCAGATTTAAGCAAGGTAAGTCAGTTTTTCAAAAATAAAAATTGTGCACTAAAATAACTGAGAATTTTTAAGGAACTTTTATATATATCAAGTATTATAGTCTACTTTTATTTTAAAACCCTGACATTTTAATATTTTTTAAGATTGAGAAATTATGTCTGCTGAAAAAATAAAAATTAAATGGTCTACTTAGCAATTGCCCTTCAGTTTTACATTGAGATAGTTACAACCTTTTAAATAAAGGAAACTTTCATATTAGTGAAACTAACACTCTTTAATCTTCTAATTTTTTTGCAAGATAATAGTTGGAGAAACTGCTGTGTTTTGCCTACAATTAGCCACAAGGGATTTTGAAAACCAGGAGAAAACTATTTTAACTGGAGACTGTTGCTATATAAACCCACTGGTACGCCGAACTGTCCGATTTCTCGGTATGTATCCATTGACTTAGTTTTATTTTTGTCAATAAAGATGATCATATATGAGACAACAACAGCAATTTCCACATTAAGAAGGAAAGACTACAACCCCTGAATAGTATTTTTAAAGAAACTAAATGTATTCAGTTAAAATAAGTGACTTAGTGTGTAATACACAAGGAGCAACCCTAAGTAGATCAATCAAGATGGGTAACTTGGTATAAGGAAGAATATCATATTTAATAAGCTCTATCCCTTGCACTAGTCTTGAGATAGTTTTCATGTAAACCTAGTTATATCCATAGTTTTGATAAAGAATGAGAGACACTGATACTTTAGCTTTTACCCTGCAAAAGTCAGCACTTAACAAAATAACAAATTACTAAGCATCCTTGTAGTCAATAGAAATTTAGACAAACCAATTTCATTGGACAACAAATTTCAATGTCAATTATCATTTCCTGGTTTATTAGACTAAAATGATCACAGCTATGTGTATTAAAAAGAATGTATGATGAATTCTGATGGACATTGAGAGATTCATTAAGAAGACTACAACTTTACAACTTTTCAGAGTGTCTCATGTTATGGCGTTCAAGATGAAAATTTTGGAGACAGCAAACAGCATACTATCCTATAGCTACTAAACTAGAGACTAGACATAAAAGAATAAGGACCATAAGCCTCTCTGAAGATGAAGGGTCTTTTTTTTGGAAGACTGAATATTTCATCATCATCAAGTTAGGTATCTCCAAAGTCCCTAAGTATCTTTTGAAGGAATATTATATAAAATATAAAAATATTATATGATAATAGAATGTTATATAAAATATATAAAACATTTTTATTTCATTTTCAAGATATATAATCTTAAATTTTTATTTTTTGTATACATAATATGCTATTGACCCATTTCTCTTTGAATGTGAGCCATTTAATAACAAAATAAGTAGCAAGCAATGACATCTGCAAGACTAAAAGTACTTGAAATTAGTACTTTCCAAAGTACTATTGAGCGAAGTTGGTTGTGTTATTGAGGAAAAACATTCTTTGCATTTACATGCATGTTTGTAAAGGGCCATGTGTCACAAAGTAAAGTGTGCCTATTACATGTCATGTTTCTTCCTGATTATATAAATTTTCTTTTGTTTTGTTCCTTTGTGTGACCTGAAGTTTCAAATCTGTTATAAGAAAATGAAAGCTTGTAACTGAAGAAACACTGAATAAAAACATTGCACTTTGCAAAAGGGGATTTGTGCTTTCTGTCAAAGGAACAGCTATGCCTACAGGATCCCACTTTGAAAATTATCTGTGTCATCAACAGCACTACCAGATTTGGACCTGATACATGAACATTTTAGTTTTAAGACATATTTGGGAACTTCTCAAGTATCAAGAGACATTTCTATATTCTTCCCAAATATTTCTATTTTAAACAAGGAGACCTATTACACTAGATAAAAAGATTAGCTTAGTTAAGAAATGAGTACATTTTAGCCTACATTTCAAAGGAGTACAGATATAGATGTCAGTGCTTACTTTGAGGTTTGTGAAGGACAGATTATGTTTGCATCTTACTGGCCTCGGTTTGCTCCCAGTTCTGTGCCTTTTCTGATTTTCTGCTTTTCCTAGCCTTAACTTGCTATGACTCATGGCACACTGCTAAGAATCAAGAAAGGGATTCTTGCTGTTTTTCTTTGGAACTTAAAATAGAAAAATCAATGTTTCTATCACCTTGACATTTGGAAACTTGGAGTTTTATTATGTGTAGACTTTTTTGTGCATAAAGAAATCTTATTTAACATGTTGAAAATTTAAAGAACATCCATGCATCTAATACTGGAAAATTATTTGATCCCTTGTAATTTCATGATGACTTTCTAATATAACAGCCAGTCATGATGGAAGGCTTAGAACAAAAAACAAAAACAAAACAAACAAAAAAAAAAAGTTCAGAAATACACAACTAAGAAGAAACAGGTCTAATTTTTATAAATAAAATTAATATGACCTTTTAATAATTCAATTCTTTGGGGAAATATTATTTTACTGTAAGTTTAAAAGTCATTGGAAATGAATAAATGGCCCAGTAGTTAAAATTTCATCCTGCTTCTACAGTGACCTTGGGTTTTATCCCCAACGACCGCTTACAGTGGCTCCCTGCCACCTGTAACTCAAGCTCCAGGCTATTTGAAGTGCCCTTTTCTGACCTCTGTGAGAACCTGCACAGATGTGGTGTACAAATATGCACTCAGATGCACACACATACTTTTGTCATAAATAACTAAAACTTGAAAATAATAAAAATCCTAACAGATTTTATTACCTCAAATTGGAAATCAGTGGATTTCCTCACATTAGAACCACACCTGTGAAGGTTCCATTTTATGGATATCTTGTTATCAATGACAAAATTTGTTTTTCTGAGGCATAAAAATAGGTTTTGTTCATAATTTAAAGTCTTCCATAAGATTTTAAAAATAAAAAAACATCTGCATATGTAATACTGGAAACCTAATAGGCATTTGCATCTCTCAGGTAGGAAATAGCCAGTGAATCTGATTAGAGAGATCTTCTAAAATTCAAGTAAATTCTTGTGCTTATCACAAAGGGAAGAAATGTCCATGAACTTAGATTTGTACTTTCAGGTAGTCACCGTAAAGGAACTTTAAAGCCTTAAAGCCAATCGAGAATTAGAATATTGATTGCCTGCTTGTTACCCAACTTGTTCCAAAACAGATAACTAGAAAGAAAATCTCTAAAAGATGAAGTGGGGCTACATGGTAGCTGTTCTGTGCCTTTGAAAATGTATTTCTGAAGGCAATGTAGAGACTTGAATCCAAGAACACTCTGCTTAAGATTTCTCCATGATATTTAAATATAAACTGATGACTTTGAATTTTCCTACTAACTGGCACCTCCATAAGTAGGTTTAGGATGCATAATCAAAGAGAAACAATTGCTTTGCTTTATGCTAGTGTCATAAAACATGTCAAAAATAGGAAAAATAGATATTGCTGACATTACTAAAACACGATAAATCATACCCTCTTTGGTGTCTGCCTCTTTATTTCAAAACCTGCATAACCCAAATATAATCTCAGAATATATTTTGTTTCTTGATTTTGTGTCTCACAAACCTGCCATACATGAAAATGTAGCCAGTGGTAGACAGCTCAATATGTTAAATACTTTAACACCCTTAACTACTCCAGAAAGCCAAGGCAGAAACTGGGGAGAGGAAAAAACTGAGTATGTGCACTTATGGAATGCATTACAGTTTCTAAAATATCCCCATATTTGATTGTTATAGAATGCTCTTTTAAGAAGAAAGCTAACGTTGTTTGTTTTCTTTCTTCCCCAGGAATTTATACGTTTGGACTCTTTGCTACAGATATCTTTGTAAATGCTGGGCAAGTGGTTACAGGCAACTTGGCTCCACACTTTCTGGCCTTGTGTAAGCCCAACTACACAGCTCTTGGGTGTCAACAGTATACACAGTTCATCAGTGGGGAGGAAGCGTGCACAGGCAACCCAGATCTTATCATGAGAGCAAGGAAAACCTTCCCATCCAAAGAGGCTGCCCTCAGTGTTTATGCTGCCATGTATCTGACGGTAAGTGACAATCAACAAGGCATAGTCCTAGGGATGTCTTTCCCGTTTTGCAAGCATGAAATTCTTTTCTGAACCATGATGAGATTTATACATAGAAATCTAATTTTTCTTTTGACCATACAATTTATTTCTAATATTTGCCAGTTGTACTGCGAATGATATTAACTCTGCTGGCTCTCTTGAGGTCATATGTGGGTAGCTTATTACATAAAGATATATTACAATTGTAATTTCTGTTTGTAAATATATTTGCCTTTATATTAAATAAGACTTAAAAGAAACAAATTTTGTTCTGTAGCACTATCCACTGAGTTCTAATAGCATAATTTCGAGAACTGTCTGGGTTCCTGACTGCCTACCCAAGCTCTCAGGTTACGTGGTTCTGGGAGAGAAGTAACTCTTATTTTAGAAAACTCCTTTGTTATTGGTAATTACATCATCATAAAGTTTCAATCAGTATTTTTATATTTCCTCATAGAACTAACCAAAATATCTTTAGAAATTATGTTTTCCTTTTATTCTTGAGTATTTGCCCTCATTTTGGTAATAGTGACCAGGCTCTGTGTATAGGCATCCTAAGACTTTGAGGTGAGAATGTGCAGTCATAGCTGATTGTATTACTGACAGCAGGGATGGATAAAAGGGTAGCCATGGCAGGTAGCTCTTGACCCCAACATATCCTCAGTTGGCTTTCTCAGGTCCCTCAGGAGGTATGCAGGTGTGGAGCTGAGCTTCAAACTTATTTTCTGTGGGCTTATCCATAAACTGTGGTGATAAGTGCAAAGGATGTAGATGCCTTTGGGGCCTCTTCTCAGTGGTTCCAAGACCTACTCTCTTCTGATATCAGCTTATCAAGGAAAGGTTTGTACTAAATAAATAAATAAATGAATGAACAAATAAATACTGGCCCAGCCTGAAACCAAATTCGATTATTTCTAATGACTTGGAAAAAGTTAGAATCTTTTTATGTTCCAGAAGCTATTTGGTGTTCCTAATGCAATCATGTCAGGTTACCACTAAAAGCACAGAGTCTCAAGCGTTGCTCAGTGCTATGTTTCTCTAAGACTGGAAATAAAGATTCTTAAGTAGAAGGAAACTGTATGAGGGAAAATGTAGCAGTGTTCATAACATTTGCAGTGCAAGATAAATATAGAGGTCACAGAGTAGAGAGTTTAAGAGTTTCAGGTTGCTGTTGCTCTTTATATATATATATGGTTGTTACTTGCTGTCCAGATGGATCTAGAATTTACTATGCAGCTAAGCTGGCTGCAAACCTTTGGAAATCAGTTCACCTTAGCTACTCAAGTGTCTAGAGTGAGACTTTCTAAAGCTTATAAACCATAGTAATTGTACTCCTCACTTCCTGGTCTTTATAAACTTCCCATCAAGAAATTTTGAATAGCATTCTGGGAGTGAATCGTATCCTATCATTTTGTCTGCCACTTCCTGCTGACTGCTGTAAAATGTTTGTTACGATTCCCTTCTTGCCGTCTCACTCTGTCCCCCAAAATTTGTATGTTCCTGGAGTTCTTCAGTTTCCTTAGTCTATCAGCTTTCATTCTCCTATACATTGTAAGGTGCCTCTCGCCATTGAATGAAATGTGCAAACACTCATTTTCTTCTGTATTCGCCAAGTTGCTTGACTACAGGCTTCTCCTTTGCTAGAATATGCAGCACTCAGCTGTTCAGGGAAGGTTTTAAGTGAGTGAATCAGAAGGCACAAGGCGGGTTTTCATCTATGCCTTCATCTAAACCTACTGTTGACTTTTTGTAGGGACTCTAAATATATCTGTACATGAATATGTGATCAAACAAATGATGGAAAGAAATCACATAGTGCTTTCTGAAGCCAGATACTGTACTCTCTTTTAACATTAATAGATGTTGAAATTTGTTCTGTATCCAGCCTTTGGCCATGGTAATGAATATGCAACTAGAATAAAATATTTAGCCTTGTTAGTATCCTAAATAATCCTTCAAAGACATTGCTATGTGTTGGGCATGGAAAATCAGGATGATTGGCCAGTAAGATAAAGTGGAGTTTATTAGGAGAAAATAACTTACACAGGACACAAGTGACTACATCGCTCCAGCCCCATGGATTCAGATCCTGCCACCCTGATGCTTTCTGTGACCTGAAGGGGCTTCTGAGCCCCACTTCAATCCTTGTAATTGGTTAAGTCAGCACTTTTGACCACGCCCAAATGGGTGTGGTCAGCACTATAAGTGAAGTGTGTGTGTGAATATCTCACTACAGCAAAGGGATATTGTAATAGCTCTTATGCTCTAGAAGAATCTTCACATTTTATATTACCTCTATTCTTCTGACCACCTGCAAGTGTTTCTTTGGGCTCATGCTTTGTACACTGCACTGTTCTAGGCATAATAAAGACAAATACTGTATTAATAATAATTATTATGACTTTAGCAAACATTTATTGAGCACTTCCTGTGGTAACTAATTTTTAATGTTAACAAATGTCAACATCTACTCGTGATTATTTATATTTAATAATTCATTATGTGTAATCATTTTTTGAAACTATGTCACATTTTGTAGCAGCTGTATGTACTCATTTCACCCATTTATAGATGGAGATACTGAAAAAGTGATGTCCTTTGTTCAGATCTAGTGAACCACAGATTTTTTTGGCGATAATGATCTTCAAGATGTCTCAGATAGAGAAACATTAAATTTTGCTATTTCTTATTTGTTCATGGTTAGCCACCCCCCCCCCCACATTATTTCACCAGCCAGTACAGTTTAAAGCCGAGGATGCAGATGGTGATGAGATTAGAAAACAGCCCAGTGCTGAGGAATCTTCTGTCATTAAATGCTGTTCAGACTAAGAGTTAGGATCCCTGCTTGTAATTACATTGATGGGTACCTCTGTCTTTTCAACAATAGATTCTGTTCTCTCCTAACTGCTTTCTTCTCTTTCCTCACCGCCCCTTTGTGTGTGAGAGAGAATGTGGGTGGCTGCTATGGCAACCCTGAATATAACTTGTGCTGCAAAACAGAATTTCCAGTCAGGTTTTAGCATTATATTAGAACTTATATACAAATGTATTTTGCCCCAGATTCACTAGTGACACCTTGGGAAATACTTCCTTATGGAAAGTTTGGGTGTTTCAAACTAATTTGGTCTCCTGGAATGTTGGCCAGAATTTTGATAAGCAGGTATATAGGAAAGAATGCCTGACAAACAGTATTCTTTATGGAAATGATCTTATGCTGGTGTGTGGAGGTATGTTTATTTAATACTAAGTCATAAACATGTGAATTCATAAGAATGAAGTGTTCCAGTATGACAAATCTGTGAAAGAACTGAGAAATATTTGTTTGATGATACTCTTGTGGCTTTGCATAAACCCAAGGAATTTGAACTCTCCTTAAGGATCTGACTTTAATTAAGGCTTTGGAGATAATTTGATTTACTGAGAAGTTTAAAGGGAAAAACATCCATAATCCTATTTTTACAAATGCAATTAGTTTCTTAAGTTGAGGGGATAATCTAAAAGTTATTTAACCCTCAACTGTCAAATTTCTAATTCAGTGTTAAACTACATTATAATACTATTTAAATTTAGCGCTGGAGAATGATTTATCAAATTAAATGCAAGAAAAAAGGCTTTCAATTTTGAAAATGAAAAATTATGTTTGAAATCCAGTTAAACCCCATACATTTTTGAAACAGAAAATGCATGCCCTTATATCTTTGATCACTTCCAAATCTGACCTTAATTTTTCTTCTAATAAAATATAACAATAGAAAATGGGTTGGAAAGATGATTCAGTGGTTATGAGCATTGATTGTTCTTGCAGGGGACCCAGGTTTCATTCCCAGCACCCACAGAGTAACTCTAGCTCAGGGGGTTCCTGATGCTCTCTTCTGTCTGGCTCTGAATGCACAAGGAGCACAGACATTCATGCAAACAATATACCTGAACAATAAAATAAAATTTTAGGAACTTAAATGTAATTAATTATAAGCCAGAGTCAGGGCATATCTAGGCATTGGCTTCCTTTGTGTAGTAACCCATGTTGATCCATTCTAAAGCTACAAGTGAGTTAGAGCTCCCTCCCCCCGGGTCTGGGTCAGCTCACCAATCAGCTGGGGTTTGCCTCAATTGGCACACCTAGAATAACTGGGCTTCTCTCATCCTGAAGAGGTTTTCCTGTAGGCCAACTTGACAGATTGTGTCTCTGAACAGCTTTCCAAAATGTTGAAGCCCCAAGCTTTGAGGTGTATGGAGACTTATGCTCTGATTCCCTAGGCCTTCCATCATGGCACTTAATCTATCCAGGTGAATCACAGATGACCTGTAGAAGGAAGAGTGAATCAAGTAGACTATGAAGGTGAATATAATGTCATAGGAGGAATTTGTGATCATTATATAATTTATCTAAGTATTTCCTGAAGAGTGGAAGGAGAAATACAGCTTTTCCTCTGTCTTCTGTGTTAGTAATCAGTCATTGGCACTCTCCCTCTCTTACTTACTGCAGTAATATTTGTAGTGACCTCATAGGATTCCATGTATACTAACTACAAATCATGTAATGCTGAGACAAGAATTAGAAGAACACACCCTATTTGTTTCATAAGACAGATCTGAAGTCATGTTTAAAGGGAGAAATAAGGTGTGTTAAAACACACTCTGAGCTTCCATTCTATCTTTTTTTGTCCAGTGATGAATGCTGCCATCACTAAGTTGTCCTATAAAATTCCACACATAAGAGTAACTTAATCTTAAAATGTATAAAGTCCCTGGGCTTCAGACTTCACAGGAACAAATTTGATCAAGTGTCTGCTCAGACATATATAAAAAAATATTACTTGGCACACAGACAATTCAATAGCAATGCCATGACTTTGGTGACTAGTGCTACCATTGCCATTATTAATTGACTGGCACTTTCCTTGTCAGCATTCAGCTGTTATTGTGTGCAGTGAGAGAAGTCACAAAGGCCATCTGTAAAATACCCTCTATGTCCCAAT